GACAGAGAGAGAAACAGAGAGAGAGAGGCAGAGAGAGATGGAGAGAGATAGAGAGACAGAGAAAGAGACAGAGAGAGAGAGACAGAGAGAGAGACAGAGAGAGACAAAGAGAGAGAAAGAGAGAGACACAGAGAGACACAGAGAGACAGAGAGAGAGACAGAGAGAGACAGAGAGACATAGAGAGACACAGAAAGAGAGACAGAGAAAGACAGAGAGAGATAGAGAGACAGAGAGAGACAGAGAGAGACACAGAGAGAGACAGAGAGAAACACAGAAGGAGACAAAGAGAGACAGAGACAGAGAGAGAGACAGAGAGAGACAGGGAGAGACAGATAGAGAGACAGAGAGAGACACAGAAAGAGACAGAGAGAGACACAGAGAGACACAGAGAGAGACAGAGAGAGACAGAAAGAGAGACAGAGACAGACAGAGAGACAGAGAGAGACAGAGAGAGACAGAGAGAGACAGACAGAGACAGAGAGAGTGACAGAGAGAAACAGAGAGAAACAGAGAGGGACAGAGAGAAACACAGAGAGAGACAAAGAGAGACAGAGACAGAGAGAGAGACAGAGAGAGACAGAGAGAGACAGAAAGAGAGACAGAGAGAGACAAAGAGAGAGAAAGAGAGGGACAGAGAGAGACACAGAGAGACAGAGAGAGAGACAGAGAGAGACAGAGAGAGACACAGAGAGACACAGAGAGAGACCGAAAGAGAGACAGAGAGAGAGAGAGAGACAAAGAGACAGAGAGAGAGACAGAGAGAGTGACAGAGAGAGAGACAGAGAGAGACAGAGACAGAGAATTTGTTCACCACAGGCTTGAACCTGGGACCTCTAGCACTCAAAGCGGACACCATACCTCAAGACCATGCAGCCCCCAGGAAGATATTCAACACTGAAGGGGAAAAAGAGGTGAACTTTTTTTCAGGTTAAAACTTTTACCATTACCATGTCAACTCTTCGTTGGCTACTGAAGAAGGGTCAGAGCACATGTGGGAATGTCCAGAGTTCAGTGATGTCAGTAATGGATTCATTCATTCATTTATTTAAATCAGAAAACCTCATGTACACACAGATTTATTTATACACACACTGATTTATGAAAAACATATATATCGGTGCTTGGATCTGAGAGAGGCACCAGCATGCGGTGCACAGATTTCCTGGAAAGTTGCAAAAAGAGCAGGTCAGTTGGCTGGAATCTAGTACGCTTTATCTTCCCAATCTTCACCCGGCTCGACCGAATCAACACCCACCTCTTCGTAGTCTTTCTCCAGAGCTGCCAAGTCTTCACGGGCCTCAGAGAACTCACCTTCCTCCATACCTTCCCCAACGTACCTGTGAAAGAAATGAAATTCATGAGTTAATGGATCTGATAATAGTATCTTATATCGTAACTTGGTAGCTGTGGTAACCCAGTGTTCAGCACAAGAGTCTTGAGTTCTAATTGAGGCAGAGAGAAAAATAGATAGATAAAAGCGTGAATTTGTAGTTAACCTATTTCCCACCATCCAGTTAATGCAGATTTTCTGCGTGTGGGTTCCGGGAACCTGATGTGGGTGGGAAACAAGAATAAGTCCACTGACTGCCCAACAAGCATGCCGTTGAAGTCGACTAATTTGAGGGCATCTTTCAAAGTCAGAGTACATCTGCCTGAGAAGCAAAGAACCAAGGATCTGAATACAAATAAACCAGATCTGTGAAACAGATGTGCACGCAACACCCAGGTTCTGGAACAAGACTAAAATCCAGGGGTGGAGAAACATTCAGAACTTTCTGCCAGAGTTTACAGCCAGTGAAAGTGAAGAAGATGAATACAGAGTTGTCTACACAAGTCACAGAGGTTCACTGAGAAAGTGAATGGACGAGGCTTACTACAACAAAGTCTGGCATATGATACCACAATTTCTAATCTGAGAAAGGAGGTGGAGGCAGTCCTAGCTATTTCCAGGGCTTAAAAACCAGCTGATGATTTTAACTGACTCACAGAGAATGTTGAGACAGATGAAGACAGACATGCTATTGGTACAGTTGAAAAGTTAGTTGCATATCCTTTACAAGACGTCGCAGAACCAACTCTAGTATTTTTTGGCTGTTGTGGTTTTTCTAGGCAAATTTACATCCGGCAGTTTGCCATTGCTTTCTAGATAGTTGTCTTCTTGTTCCCACTGTCAAATCCAATGCAAGGCGCAAGGCTTGCAGCTGGAATCAAACCCAGCACCCTAGAATTACGAAGTGTGTTCGCAGCGCCTAGGCCACAGACACCGATCCAGGTAAAGTAGCTAGCATCAATTCAGAAGTTCCAGATAGTTAGCAACCTTTGGACATCATCTAGCAAGGATTAATTCAGAAGTCCCAGATAGCAACCTTTGGATATCATCTAGCTAGGATTAATTCAGAAGTCCCAGATAGTTAGCAATCTTCAGATATCATCTAGCAAGCATCAATTCAGAAATCCCAGACAGATAGCAACCTTCAGATATCATCTAGCAAGGATTAATTCAAAAGTCCCAGATAGCAACCTTTGGATATCATCTAGCAAGGATCAATTCAGAAGTCCCAGATAGTTAGCAATCTTCAGATATCATCTAGCAAGCATCAATTCAGAAATCCCAGACAGATAGCAACCTTCAGATATCATCTAGCAAGGATCAATTCAGAAGTCCCAGATAGTTAGCAATCTTCAGATATCATCTAGCAAGCATCAATTCAGAAATCCCAGACAGATAGCAACCTTCAGATATCATCTAGCAAGGATCAATTCAGAAGTCCCAGATAGTTAGCAACTTTCGGATATCATCTCCAGAGTATGCATGTGTGCTGAGAAATAAACAGTCAAGACAAGCTAGCTAGTTATACACCACTAGATGGTAACTTTTTACATAATAAGCTGGTCACAGTCCCTTGGCAGCAAGTGAACAATGTGGAAGCACAAACAGATCTTTACAGAGTGAAGAGAATGGAGAGAGTGGAGAGAAGGGAGAGAATGGAGAGAGTGGAGAGAGTGGAGAGAGTGGAGAGAGTGGAGAGAGTGGAGAGAATGGAGAGAATGGAGAGAGTGGAGGGAGTGGAGAGAGTGGAGAGAGTGGAGAGAGTGGAGAGAGTGGAGAGAATGGAGAGAGTGGAGAGAATGGAGAGAGTGGAGAGAGTGGAGAAAGTGGTACAGCTGGGAGTGACCAGAAGATCTGACTGATACTCTACACCCAGAGCAAAGGCAAGATTGACATAATATCAAAGTTCTACTGGCACCATCAGAACTGGGACTCTTTGTTGGCTGCTGAAGATGAGGTCGGAGCACTTATGAGAATGTCCTAAGTACTGTGATGTAAGTTCCCTAACTCAGATCAACTCAACTGTCTATAAAATGATGGGACTAATTCTTGAGCAGGTGGCACCGTTGTATAGCGGCTAGATGGTCGCCTGCGGATCAGAAGGTTGTGGGTTCAAAATCAAATAGACTTTTTGTTTTTGTTTTTTGTGTCAAAGACCTTGACTCCCAGGTCAACCTAGTCTTAATAGTAAAGACCTGGGAAGTAAAGGCGGCTGTCATGATGTTAACCACATCACCCACTGAGTGCCGACTGGTATATAAAATGTTAGTCTAGCCCTATATGCCCAAAGGTATGGAAAAGAGTTCTTGACTTTAACTTTTAATTCTTGAGCAGTAAAGTAACAAAATCGATGTGGACATATTTTTGGAAAGAAAGTATTTATTACTACATTATTTTACTGTTGCTTTTTTCCATCTGCCATGAACTCATTAACAGCAGGCTATCTTCTTTGTGTAAAGAGCTCCAACATAACTGTTTTAAGTGGTTGAACAGGGTATTAATGATACACTGTTGCTGGATTCACATCCAAAAAGTAACTCTTTATCATTGGATGTCAAACCCAGTCAACAAAGGCCTGCAAACCCGGTCAACAAAGGCCTGCAAACCCAGTCAACAAATGCCTGCAAACCCAGTCAACAAATGCCTGCAAACCCAGTCAACAAATGCCTGCAAACTCGGTCAACAAATGCCTGCAAACCCGGTCAACAAATGCCTGCAAACTCGGTCAACAAATGCCTGCAAACCAGGTCAACAAATGCCAGCAAACCCGGTCAACAAATGCCTGCAAACCCGGTCAACAAATGCCTGCAGAAGTTGGATTGTCGCCTGAAAGGCACAGATATCACAGGCATGCTTTAAACTGACGCTGTAAACAGGCACAATGCAATTACATCTTCAGATGAACGAAGAAGGAGCAGAAGACATCAAATTTACATATGGTTTACGCAGCCTCATTTTAAGAGGGAACCAAGAGAATAGACCAACTGCTTCTTATCAAGCATGTCATAAGAGATGACTACTTTTGGATCTGGTAAAATCAGAAGATGTGTTGGTTAGATTTACAGGGTACATTAATGTTTTGACAAGACACCCATGATACTGACCAGTGGACAAAAGCCCGCTTGGCATACATCAGATCAAATTTGTGGTCGAGACGAGCCCAGGCCTCGGCAATAGCTGTAGTGTTGCTTAACATGCAGACGGCTCTCTGGACCTTCGCCAGGTCACCTCCGGGCACCACAGTGGGAGGTTGATAGTTGATACCAACCTGTAGATTTAACAACACAATTGTTAGTTATATTTTAGTATCTCTTCATTTCAGTAAGTTAAGTAAAGTAAGACAAAGTAAAAAAAAAGTAAAGTAAAGCAAAGTGAGGTAAAGCAGAGTAGAATAGGCAGAGTTAAAAAAACAAAGTAACATAAAATAAGTTGAAGTAAAGTAGGTTGAAGTACAGAAAATAAAATAATGTAAGGTGAAGTAAATTAATATAATGTAAGATAAAATAAGGTAAAATAAGGCAAAGTAAGATGAGGTAAAGCAAAATAAAATAATGTAAAGTAAGGTAAAGTTTAAAAAAAAGTGAGATAGAGTACAGTAAAGCAAGGCAAAGTAAAGTAAAGTAAAGTAAAGCAGAGCAAAGGCATCCTTTCTACACAAGAAATGACTCAAGTAAATGGTTATAGCCCCATATATGTTAGACTACATCAGCACTTTATGGAGTTGGATTTGCAGGAACTGGATGCCAAGAATTCCACTGTGGTAGAACATTAGAAAGGGAATAAGTATGAAAAGGAAAATGATTGCAGACAGTTTAAAAACTGAGCATCTGATTAGAAACAAGTCAAATACATTCAATGGCAATAAGTCCTGAAATCTCAATAGTTGTGGAAGATTCTTTTTAAAGCAAGCTGGTCTGAGATTCCTATGTTTCCTTATCACACAATGGAACTATCATTTTGACAGGAGAAAGGATGCCAGCAATATGATAACCAAGAGAAGATGGAAATGGCTTGGCCACGTTATGAGAATGAATCCTTATATACCTGCCAAAACAGCTCTCACATGGACACCAGATGGAAAAGAGAAAACAGGGGCGCCCAAAAACAACATGGAGAAGAACGATGGAAAGTGACCTGAGTGCGGCATCTTTGACATGGAAAACTGCACTGAAGATTGCACAGGACAGGAAAGCATGGAAGTCCTCTCTGAAGCCTCATGCGCCACTAGGCACAACGAGAACTGAATACACCTTCACATGACAATTAGATTAAGTGACCTGGGAGTAAAGCCTGCCTATATGGTTTCCTCACAAAAAAGCAAAACCTATTTGATACTTAGTCTGTCAATATAATTCAGACATGTGCTTATTCCAACATTCTTTCTAATGCTGGTATTCATAACATTGTTCATTCTTGTGTTCTTGGTGACCTTACGGAGACAGCACTTTTCAAAGGCAGTTATTTTTTTAATTCTAGTGCCCTGTTCAATGTCCATGTCTTAATCACTTGCTCTTTTGCTGAAATAGAGACATCTGGGTGTCTTCTTCTTCTCTGCCTTCAGTTTCGCATGCTCAGATCAGGCCATCAGGCGGTTTGCCTCTATGAACTTTGGGTGTCTAAGCAGTGGGGCTAGCTTATATACACCAATAATATTCAAAGGTAATTCCTCAGGTTAAAAACACAAAAAAACATATCATGGCAAACTTTTGGCCAAGAGAAACATCGGTGCAAGTCAAACTTTACAGGTTGCTGAGTGATATGGATAATCTATTTCAAGAAAACGAAGAAGAAGAAGAAGAAGAAACACACACACACACACACAAAAAGATAAGAAAAAAGACAATAATACTGACTTTGAATCCTGTGGGACACCAGTCCACAAACTGAATGGTACGTTTGGTCTTGATAGTGGCAATAGCGACATTAACATCCTTGGGGACAACGTCACCTCGGTACAACATACAGCAGGCCATGTACTTGCCATGACGGGGGTCACATTTCACCATCTGATTGGCTGGCTCAAAGCAGGCATTAGTAATTTTGGCAACAGATAGCTGTTCGTGGTAAGCCTGCAATGAGGGAAGAATTCCCAAATTAGATCAGATATTGTTAGTTAGCTGGTAACTTTCTGTCTTTACAGACAATAGTATTATACAGTGCAGACTACTTAAGACGATCTGGGACGTGATAAATTTCTGTTGTGAAGAACAATTTATTAATCCCCAGCAATTTTTCTTGTTTGAACTTTTCCAGGAGAATAGAAGAAGAAGAAGATTATAAGGGAGAAGAAGAACTCTTATCTGAGGAGGAATTTCTAATCTTCCTAAAATCTATGCCATGTGGCGTTAGTAGTCATGTGTATCAACAGTCTTCTGTCTCATGTACTTTTGATCAGTTCTGACACAAATGATCCTCCATACCAGGATATAAGACTATCCAACATCTTCTTTCTTGCTCTCCTTCTGCCTCTCTTCTTCTACTATTTTCTCGCTTGTCATGGTGTACTCCATGTTTCTCCTTCTCCTGCCATGACCAAAGAATGTAGATAGTCTTCTTCTGATGCGGGCAATCGGTTCTCTTTAGGAGAGTTAGTTTCTTTCCAGAGACATTTTCATTACTCTTTTTATCTGTCCAATGTATTCTCATCATTCATCTGCAAAACCACATCTTCACAGCTTCCAAATAATTATTCACTAGTCAAACTGTCCACGATTACTTTCATGAATCAGAATAGAATTTATATAGCTTTAAAGAATTATCTTTCTCATCTCAATTGACAAAGAAAGATGTAAAGAATATTCTTCATTTTGTAAAATGATGCCTTTGCTCGAGCTTTTCTACACTAGACTTCTTTAATACATCTTTCATCTGAGGTTATTAGGGTGTACCAGTAATGTATCAACTTGCTTAAAGGTTTTTGCAATTTCTGTTAACAAGAACCATTTCTTGGATTCCTGTCGATTTCTCCTTATCAGCTCAGCACTGTGTTGTGCTATAGGGAGGCATGGAAATAACAGCTCATGGTTATATTTAAGGTCAAGTATGAAGTTCTTCCTCTTCAAAGTGCAAAGCTATGATGGTTTTGTAGAAATCTTGGGCTGCCCATGCATCATGTTGCCTTGTTCAACCTGCCTTGTTTATTTAAAAAGAAAGGTAATACCAACCAAAACATTTGGAACAAATCATGCTGCTGAATCTGTCAGATCAGAAGAGCATTGCTCTCTCTGTCCATTTGTCAGAGCTTCCCTCCTACAGTGTAAGCCTTGATATTACCACAAGGTTTTTCAAAAAAACAAAACAAAACCTAATGATGGGCTAGTTATATCACTATTCAAATAAAGTGCTACAGAAACTATCACTTCTTCTTCTTCACTTCCTCTTTTGCCATCTCTGTTGTCAAGGGAGATATAAGATTCTGCTTGTGGTTCTTATTGCTGCCGCAACCATAGACACACCGTGCTGTTGTAGAGTTTATCTGGCAATATCTTTCTCCATGTTCTTGCTTTGCTTTCTGTTCTACTTCTCTTTTTTCTTTTAGTGTGTGTCTTGTATGTCATGGCATCACAAAACATTCTTTCTGAGTGGGCAAACCATTTTTCCTTGTCTTTGTATGTAGTTTAGTACTAGTTCTGTGCTGACATTTTTCTATTAAAGAGCTAATGTATTCAAAGTCTGTGACACTTTTAATTTGTTCATTACTGACTACAATTTGGTCGACTTTTAGACTGCTCTCTAAGGGAGGTATGGATGATTAACATACCTTCTCAGCTGAGAATGCTGGGTTAAAAAACACATTATTTAAGAAAACACATATTACTTATGCCGATTACCACATAGGTTGGTCATTAAACTTTAGAAACATACCTTCTTAGCTAAGAATGTTGGATAACTTTAAGGAAATACATATTACTTATGCCGATTACCACATAGGTTGGTCATTAAACTTCAGAAACATACCTTCTCAGCTAAGAATGCTGGGTAACTTCAAGGAAATACATATTACTTATGCAGATTACCACATAGGTTGGTCATTAAACTTCAGAAACGTACCTTCTCAGCTAAGAATGCTGGGTAACTTCAAGGAAATACATATTACTTATGCCGATTACCACATAGGTTGGTCATTAAACTTCAGAAACATACCTTCTCAGCTAAGAATGCTGGATAACTTCAAGGAAATACATATTACTTATGCCGATTACCACATAGGTTGGTCATTAAACTTCAGAAACATACCTTCTCAGCTAAGAATGCTGGGTAACTTCAAGGAAATACATATTACTTATGCCGATTACCACATAGGTTGGTCATTAAACTTCAGAAACATACCTTCTCAGTTAAGAATGATGGGTAACTTCAGGGAAATACATATTACTTATACTGATTTCCATATATGTTGGTCATTAAACTTCAGAAACATACCTTTTCAGCCGAGATGACTGGAGCATAGGTGGCAAGAGGGAAAATGGATACGTGGATATGGCACCAAGTTGGTCTGGAACTCTGTCAGATCCACATTAAGGGCACCATCAAACCTCAGGGATGCAGTGATGGAGGACACGATCTGGCCAATCAGACGGTTCAGGTTGGTGTAGGTGGGGCGCTCGATGTCCAGGTTACGACGGCAAATGTCGTATATGGCCTCATTGTCCACCATGAAAGCGCAGTCTGAGTGCTCCAGTGTTGTATGTGTTGTCAAGATGGAGTTGTAAGGTTCAACCACAGCAGTGGATACCTGTAAATAAAAACGTTTCCTTTGTGTTCACAAACTGTAAATAAAACCTGCTTTAAAATTACAATAAGCAGCATCAGTGGCTTAGGCGTTGCGAGTCTGACTCTTATTCCAACGTACAGGGATCAAAACCCACTGCTGGCTGTGTGGATTTTTATCTTGGGATGAGGCGTCGTAGGTAGACCCAGCCTGAAATGGGATTCCATGATGGCTGTCCTGGGGAAGTAAAGGACGACCGGCAAAATGCCGACCACATTACTCTCCTAGTGCTGACCGATCTGTATAAATATGGGTGCTCTTCTCATATGCCCGATGTGCCTAAGGCATAAAAAAGGATCTTTACTTACTTACTTTACTTAAAAGTACACTGAAACATTAATGAGTGAAGTTTAACTCCACTAGGACCACACAGAGAGTGATCAACACCTGGTGACACAAAGTGCCTCTATTTGGATAATATTCGCCAGGTGCAAGTTCCGTAAACCCTGTTCACCCTTAAGATTCAATTAGGGCCCCTGATGATGGTTATGAAGTAACAAGAAGTACAGCTGGGGTGGGACTTCAATACCAAATTTTAAAAACAGTGTCCTATTTTGCTAAAGGGTTAATACTGAAACATATTTTTTAAATATTACCTGGTTGACCTCCCAAATGTCCAGCCTGGCCGCCCGACAACCCAAAGGATATTACGTCGGTAATCCAGGCTGAATGGGGAAACCGCCCAGTATGAGTTTTTTAGTGATGGCTCATGCCGTTTGGTTCACCAGTGACTTGTTTTTGTGACCCATCCTAATCCCTTTGGCCAGACCAGGGTAGCAGAGCAACACTTTGATCTTAGCCAAAAGGCCCAGTAATAATGAGACATTTATTGGTAACTTCAAAAATAATGAGGTGAGGAAGGAAACAATTTAAAAGAAGTAACGGTTCAGTGTTGACAAAACAATTTAAATGAAGTAACTGGTTTATTATCAACAAAACTATTTAAAAGAAGTAACCAGGTTCATTATTTAGAAAACAATTTAGATGTAGTAACTAAGTTTATTATCTATAAAACAATTTAAAAGAAGTAACTAGGTTCATTAACTATAAAAGAATACTTTGCTTTTCTTCACTATTAGTTCCTCTTTCTCCTTTTTTGTGTCTCCTGGTGAGGATGTAGACAAAGCACTTACTTGAGTGTCCTAAGTGCTATGATGTTAATTCTTAACCCAACTCAACTTTAAAATCATGCAAATGTACTTACATTTTGATAGTGGTGATTCCCCCTCTTATTAAAAAAAAAAAAAAAAAACAGTTGAAATTGTAAGAGTGAATTCCTCTTCTAGTTCTGAATGTTATGACTTACAATTACTACATCTTGGAACAGACAGAAGTATTAAATAAATTAATGTGTATAAAAAGTACTTGTTGCATTTGTTGTATTGTTTTACCTGAGGAGCTGGGTAGATAGAGAACTCCAGCTTGGATTTCTTGCCGTAGTCTACAGACAGACGTTCCATGAGCAGGGATGTAAAGCCAGAGCCAGTTCCACCTCCGAAGGAATGGAAGATGAGAAAACCCTGTAGACCAGTGCACTGGTCAGCCAACTTCCTGATGCGGTCAAGAACCAGGTCGACAATCTCTTTACCAATGGTGTAGTGACCACGGGCATAATTGTTGGCCGCATCTTCCTTGCCGGTGATCAGCTGCTCTGGATGGAACAGTTGGCGGTAGGTGCCAGTTCGCACTTCATCTGCAAGAAGTAGGTATAGCATTGTCATTTTAAATAATTGCTTGAAAGCAGCTAAAGAATGTAGATCTCTATATACAACAATAAGAAAGTGACAAACACTGTTCTCTAGCCACATAGTAAGAAGAGAGTCACTGGAGAAAATTGTGACAACTGGAAAGATCAGTGAAAAAACGGGTAGAGGCAGACCAAGAGAGATGATGTTGGATGGGCTAAAACGATGGCATGGAGGGATATCATCAAGAGAGCTGTTCCAGGCAACCAGGGATCGTGATCTGTGGAGACGCATGAGCGCCTACGCCAGTTGGCAGGGCACATGATGATGATGAAGAAGATTGTCATTAAAGGTCATTATCCCTTTGTGATTGTGCGGCCACATTGGTTTTTGTGGTGGGGGGGGGGGGGAGAAACAGACTTACTGCCCCTCTGGCAAGCATGTCGTAAAAATGGACTAATAATCAGAGGTGCTTTATTTTATATCAAAGCGCATTTGCCTGAGAGGGGAGGAACCAACAGTCTGTATACACAAATAAGCCAGATCTGTAAAATGAATGCACATGCAAAACTCAGGTCCTGGAACAAAGCCACAGTCCAGAAGTGGCTGAACAACCAAGACTTTACAGTTGGTGAATGAAAAAAAAAAAATAAAACTGCTATTGCTGGCTGAATTTACCACTTTTGTGATGTAGGCTTTGAGCCGGAGGATTTAGGGCTGCAACCAACAACTCTGTGTCATTAAAACTAATAAATAAACAAACAGAATGTCATAGAGACAGACATACTTGATTCTTCCAGAGTAAAGATCAATGTGCCAATGGGCATATGGTGCTAACCCCCATAATCTCTTACCAAGAGTTATAAATTATGAATCGGATTATCTTCACGGCACTTCAGACATGTTGACATGTCCATAGGTGTTCAGATTCCCCATTCAACATGTACATCAACATCCTGGGGTTAGTAATGGCAGTCCTATGCTGATTTACAAGACTTCTTGTATATCCAGTGTGATTCTCATGCCTGGCTGTGCAGATATTTACTCCCAATTCTCGTAATCTTAGCAGTGATATAAACATGCTTCTCAGAAGAAAAAAATCTAAGGGCATTTTTTTTAACAATGTCAGTGTGATCCATAGGATGGCCATCTGCAACCACAGCAGAACTGACCAATCCAACTCTGAACATTAGCAAATACTACCCTGACAACACACCCGTCAGCATCAGTCTCTGGATGCACTAATCTGTTGATCTTCTTCTTCTTCTTGTTCACTGGCTGTGAATTCTGGTAGAAAGTCCTGGCTGTTCGTTTATTTGAACTTTTGGCTTTTACCTGGACCTAAGTTTTGCTTGTAAATCCCTTTTACTGGATTATTTGTGTGCAGTTCTTGTACCCTGTCTCTCCGGCAGATGTACTCCGACTTCAAAAGAACTAATCTGATGATGATGCTAGCAACAATAATAATAACTTCATTCATCTCTTCTTACCTACAACAGTAGGCTCCAGATCAACAAAGACTGCCCTAGGCACATGTTTGCCAGCACCAGTCTCGCTAAAGAAGGTGTTGAAGGAATCATCTCCTCCACCGATTGTCTTGTCTGAGGGCATCTGGCCATCAGGCTGGATTCCATGTTCCAGGCAGTAAAGCTCCCAACAAGCGTTGCCAATTTGCACTCCAGCTTGGCCAAGATGGATGGAGATACATTCACGCTAAGAAAGAGAGAGAAACATTTTTATAAAGTACAAAATTTCCATGGACAGACCAGAACAAGTCATTATCATCCGCCTCAGAACAGGGCACAACCGATTATATAACCACATGTACACAAAATTTAAGATAGGTGTATTAGCCATGTGCACCTGTGGAAGGGTGCCCCAGACAGCAGACATGTACTCCAGGACTGCACCGATTTTGACACATTAAGGCACACGTTTTGGCCAGAAAGAACAACAGTGGAATGTAAACTCTATGGACCACTGAATGAACTAACAATGACAGTGACATTTATACAGGAGACAAAACTGCTGATATAGACAACTTATTTCAGGCGAACGAAAGAAGAAAAAGATAAAGTACAATTGTGGTTCTTCTTCTTTTAAATTTAACTTTGCTCTTAAAAGGGTAGATAGCACACACTGTGCATATAGTTGATTTATCCTAGACTTATTATAGTCAAAGTAAAAATAAAGGACCTTTCCTACTTGATAAAGCTTACTGAGCATAAGGGGCTAGACTTCAATTCAAGGCTGGGTCAACCTGGAAGCCAAAATAATTTCTTAAGACAAATGTATTTTCCGTCAGAGAGTTATTATACTTCGTCTTCTTCAGCATTCCAAGCCCTTGAGGTTCATTGCTGCAGATATTCACCTCTGTGGTGGCCTTCTCTTTCCAGTCGGTGACACCAAGTGTTTGCAGGTCTGTCCGGACATTATCTCTTTATCGTCCTCGTGGTCTATGACCAATCATCTCCCACGTGTATACAGTTTTTACTTCTCTGTCATCTGACATTCTCTCAATATGCCCTAACCGTTACAGGCTATTAGCTCTCATGATAGTTTTTTACTTAGTATTGTTATTTTAACATTTCGGTATACAAAGAGAATATTGCAGCACTTAAAACTTAAATGTTATTGATTATGTATACTATTATCTGCTAAAGTGATACATGAATTAATAATATATGCATGAAGTGAGGTCAGAAGGGCAAGTGTGTAAGATGGGCCCGTGTGTCAAATTTCTTACCCTCTGGAAAAAAAGGATAGTTTGTTTATTTGTTTGTTCATTTGTTTGTTCATCTGTTTGTTCTTGGTTAAGGACCTGTCTGTGATATATGCGCTTTTAAGGCAATGAATTTTAGCCAAACAAATCTAGTTGATTCTGGCAAGTCAGATTTGATAGATTCTTCTAGTGTCATCACTGTTACAAAATGTTGGCTAAGCAGATTTGATAGATTCTTCTATTGTAATCACTGATACACAATGTTGGCTAAGTAGATTTGATAGATTCTTCTGTTGTCCTGATACACAATGTTGGCTAAGTAGGTTTGATAGATTCTTCTGTTTTCATCACTGATACACAATGTTGGCTAAGCAGATTTGATAGATTCTTCTGTTGTCCTGATACACAATGTAGGCTAAGTAGGTTTGATAGAATCTTCTGTTGTCATCACTGATACACAATGTTGGCTAAGCAGATTTGATAGATTCTTCTATTGTCATCACTGATACACAATGTTGGCTAAGTAGATTTGATAGATTCTTCTGTTGTCCTGATACTCAATGTTGGCTAAGTAGGTTTGATAGATTTTTCTGTTGTCATCACTGATACACAATGTAGGCTAAGTAGATTTGATAGATTTTTCTGTTGTCATCACTGATACACAATGTTGGCTAAGTAGATTTGATAGATTTTTCTGCTGTCATCACTGATACACAATGTTGGCTAAGTAGATTTGATAGATTTTTCTGTTGTCATCACTGATACACGATGTTGGCTAAGTAGATTTGATAGATTTTTCTGCTGTCATCACTGATACACAATGTTGGCTAAGTAGATTTGATAGATTTTTCTGCTGTCATCACTGATGCACAATGTTGGCTAAGTAGATTTGATAGATTCTTCTGTTGTCATCACTGATACACAATGTTGGCTAAGTAGATTTGATAGATTTTTCTGCTGTCATCACTGATACACAATGTTGGCTAAGTAGATTTGATAGATTTTTCTGTTGTCATCACTGATACACAATGTTGGCTAAGTAGATTTGATAGATTTTTCTGCTGTCATCACTGATACACAATGTTGGCTAAGTAGATTTGATAGATTTTTCTTTTGTCATCACTGATACACAATGTTGGCCAAGTAGATTTGATAGATTTTTCTGTTGTTATCACTGATACACAATGTTGGCTAAGTAGATTTGATAGATTTTTCTGCTGTCATCACTGATACACAATGTTGGCTAAGTAGATTTGATAGATTTTTCTGTTGTCATCACCGATACACAATGTTGGCTAAGTAGATTTGATAGATTTTTCTGTTGCCATCACCGATACACAATGTTGGCTAAGTAGATTTGATAGATTTTTCTGTTGTAATCACCGATACATATTGCTGGCTAAGTAAATAACCCTTTTAATGCTACTTGTACATGCAGGCATATGATGCTAACAAATTGTTTGTCGTCGCCACAATGAAGACAGGTCACAGTCTATCCATTGTTGTCTTTGGGGATATTGCGTGGTGAAGCCCCAATCTCTTCCTCAGTGCGACTTTTGTGCCTATGCTTCACCCCCCCCCCCCCCCCCCCCCCCCCAACCAAAAAAAAAAAAAAAAAAAAAAGACAGTAGCTTTTTCTGGGTATTAACTAGGGCTGTACCGAATAGTGATTTTCACTTTTCGGCCGAATATGAATAGTGGGACCAACTATTCGGCCGAATACGAATATAAATAGTGTATCATCATCATCATCGTCTTTTTCCTCATCCACAGTTTGTTCACTGACACTTTAGTTTTACATTGTGAAGGGACGTAACTCATTCTATGCAGGTTCTCTCCACATTTCCTAGTTACTTCCCGTGTGATCAAATAGCTTATAAAAAACCACTTTGGTGGTCTAGTGGCCAGATGATGCGGGAAAGGTGGTTGGGGTGGTGTCTTCAAATAGAAGAAAGATGAAAGGCAGACCAAAAATCAAAAAGCACACAGAGAAGGGGCTAGAAAAAAAAATTAAAGGTTAAGAGGACATTTTGTGGGCTGCGTGTGATAGCATAGGACAGAACAGGCTTAGAGAGTTGATTGAGGGCCTATGCTCCATAGGGGGATACAGGAAAGAACAAGAAAAAAAAGAAGACTTGAAATGGCAGCTGCCAAATTGTTCGACGTGAATGAACAACACTGACAAATTTACTGAACAAAGTTTGCGTGAGTTTATCCCTGACACTCGTAGTAGAAAGGTTTTGGAACCATTATAATCAATCTTTAATGCGAAAGTGTCACTAAACGATGGTCTTTAACATAATTTCTGCATTTTTTTCCTTGCGGACACTTGTGCTATGCTACCTTGATAGAGTCGTCTAGGTTCGGTTCTGACGAAGCCGGATTTTTTTTAAAATGATGTTTAGGCTCCCAGGTCAACCTAGCCTTGAGTAGGTACCAAGTAAAGTCATGGGAAGTAAAGCCGACCGGCGTGATGGTGACCACATCACCTACTGAGTGCCCATTGGTCTATACAATATAGGTGTAGCCCTATATGCCCGATTATGACTAAAGGCTTGGAAAAGGGTCATTTACTTTTACTTTTAATCTTGATAGGGTCGGCGTCTGTGGCTTAGGCGTTGCGAACATGCTTCGTAATTATAAGGTGCCGGGTTTGATTCCAGCTGCAGACAATTTGGCAGCAGACCGCCTTGTGTTGGTTTCGACAGTGGTACGGGGCGCCGACCAGGCAATAGCAAACTGCTGAACTCAAAATTGCCTACTGAAATCACAAATAGCTAACAACTGCTTAGGTTGTTGTTGTTGTGCAACTTCCTGTAAATGATACGCAGACATTTTTTTTTCAACTTGATGGGTGTCTGGGGCGTTAAACATCACCGGATGGGTGCAGGCTTACACTCAGTGTACACTGGTGTGTCTGCTGGCGGTAACTCCTCCATTCACTCAGGTATACCGACCCAGTTTTCGCTTCCTGTCCTCGCGATGGAGATATAAAGGTTAGTACCTGTCCTGTTGAACGAGGTTTTTCGCCAGTGACACAGATGAGTATCATTTTTTTAGTTCATTTTAGTCCAATTTGGTCACTTCATAGTTAGTGCCTTTTTGTGTTTGTGTGCTTTGTTGTTATTTATGTGCTGATGAAGGATAAATGCCGCAACGTCCTTTGTTTATTGTGATCAATTTTGTAAAGCTGAAATAAACTATTTGTTCTTTCTTAATCCTTTTCTTCCCTATAATTTCCTACTCTTTTAAAACCCGGTTAAAAAAAAAAAAAAATTTCGAGGGAAAGCGGCTGGCTATGTCTTTGACGACAGCCGCATGGTGCCGTCTGCACCTGGCAGTCCTTGCATGAAATTAGCATAATTGCCGATATCACGTTGCTGCTATTTTGTGAAAACTGGTTCATCGGCGACCGCGTCGCCCATTGGCCCATCGCCAGTCGCGATACTATTCGGATCTGTCTCTAGTGTAGTCGGCTCTGTGGCTTAGTCGACATGAACGCTTCGTAATGCCGGGGTGCCGGGTTCGATCCCAGCTGCGGGCTATGCGCCTTGCGTTGGTTTCGACAGTGGTATTAGGCAAACTACTGGACGTAATTTGCCTAGAGAAACCACACAACAGCCAGGGGCTGCTGGGGTTGGTTCTGCAACGTCATGTAAAGGATACGCAACTAACCCTTCTAGTGTACCAACACTGTCTTGGTGACGAGCAATACTAAGCTATTTTATATGGCGCATATAAACTGGTCACAATTATAAGCAAAAGCTCCCCTTTTGGGGATGCTGGTTGATGGTTACGACCTTTTTTCCCCGCGAATTTAGCCAAGCCAAGAGAACTGGTTGAATACTGACATGCCAGGGGAGAGGGCGATGCGTTGTAGATTTTCATTATGGTTTTTTTTTTTTTTAATTGAACACTGACTTACATTTGTGGGGGGAAAAAAAAGGAGGGGGGGGGGGAGATTTTAGCTGAATATTGGCATATTGCGACG